GGAATGCCTGCTGCTAACAGTGTGCTAACAGAAGGTGGGAAATTCTACCTTCTGCTAAGAGCTGGTATTTTACCAGGGGAGGTCGAAGAAGAGAGCATACTTGGGGAGCTCTACAGGTGTTAAAGTGCAGCTAAAAATAAAGCTGTATTTATTCTAGTGGTTCAATAGTGGAGCACTGCACTATGCGTCTTCGGCCAAGACCGTTCCACCTATCCCTTGGGTTCATTATTTTAACTTCTATACATTCATCTTGGAATTCAAATTAGGCTCCGCAGCTACTAGGAAACGGAGGACCCCAAAGGTTAAATTTTGCTTTCAGATATAAATATGCAACTCGTGTTGTGGTTAATGGGAGCTTCAGGGGAGCTAGGCATGCACATCCGAGAGCAGACAGGAGCTCTAGAAGCATCTGTGTATTGGAGATAAAATAAATATAGGGACAACAAACTATGCATGATAATCCACTTTGCTAGAATCTCCTTTTTAGTACCTGAATTGCTTTATTACTTATCATTTGCCCTCAATGCATATTAAGTGCTGCCTGTGATACTGTATCTGATTAAAGAAACACTAATAACAATAGGGAAATGCGAAGTGCTTCTGTGTCCTCCTAATATATCTGGAACACTTCCAGATGGTACTGGACATTTTTTTACTTAGATTTTAAAGTTGGAAGGATGACAAGATGAGAAGCAGTAATGATGATTAAAAGGATGGAACAGACTAGGTGACAACTTCAAGTAGAAACAAAAAATCCAGTGGGGAAATCAAAAATCATGATCTTGGCAGCAAACTGCCTAAACTGGAACAATACCTCTCACATGTGCATATGAAGTACTGAGTAAATATCATGTGGGGATACCCTATAGATCTAATTACATGGGGGTGGGGGGAGGAATTAACTAATTCCCAATGCAATTATTTACATTTGTTTTATTTAATCCTTTTTTTCCTTTGAAAAAGAGAAGTAGTAGTGGTAACATGGACCCTCCAGGTACGAACACAGGCCAGTTGTGCTAGTCACTGTCCAGGCACCCAATAAGAGTCAGTGGTCACTCCAAAGTCAGCTGTCTAATTAATCAGAAAAAGGCAAATGGATGTAGAAAGGAAGTTGCAATTTGTTGTTAGTGGTTAAAGAACAAACCTAAAGTTTGAGAGACCCAAGTTCAAGTTCTTGTTCTGCTACAAATTTCTTGTCTGACCATGTCTACTTATTTAGTATCTCAAACGCCTCTGTGCCTCACTTCACCATCTGCAAAATAAGGGTAATTTTACTGTCCTCTCCAGGATAAAGAGACAAAAGATTAAAAGACAAAAGATTATGAAGTGCTGAAATACTGTCATAATGGGGTCATGTAAGTATACAGGTTTCCCTCGATTCATGCTGTACATGCATAAAGCAAACCCACTTTAAAATGTAACAAATAGGGATAGGTTCCCATGGCAGGGAGGGAGGGAGTAAGGCTGGGACTAGGGAAGGGGCGGGGGGAGGGGAGCCACTCCTGGGGCTGCACAAGGCAGCAAAGCAGAGGGAACAAAGCGGCACTCGCCCTGGCTGCTGCGGCCCCGGGAGCAGCCAGCACCAGCTGTCTGCAGATGCTGGGCTGCACCGTGCTCTGCCTGTCCCCACTCACCTCTGCTCCTGGGCTGCGCTGTGCTCTGGTGCAGGCAGCTGGTGTTGGCTGCTCCCGGGGCCACTGCAGCCAGGGCTGGGGTGAGTGGACCACGGCCCTTTCCTCCCTCCGCAGACTTACATACTTGGGCCAGGGGGGGCATCTATGCTGATCACATAAGAGTGAATATACCTTGCATATAATGAATTATGGGTCTAAATATGCTCATTGCATAAAAGCGAATTCGCATATAAAGAACCCACATAAATCGAGGGAAACCTGTATTACAAACATACAGAAACTGAGGTGGGAAAAGTTTCAAAACTCAGTGACTTAGAAACTTAGGACATCTATACATGTGCTCTGGGGTAGAGGAGGGGGGGTGCTTTAATTAGAGCTGCTCTGAGAGCCACTCTAATTAAAGTACCCGCAGTTTCATGTGTATGCAGCATCCCATGCTTCAAAGTACACAGCCACCACTTTGAAACACTGGGATGCTGAATACACATGACACAGAGGCTCCTGGAGCGCGCTAATTAGCATGCTTCAGCAGACTTGCAGTAGACTCAATTAATCAATTTAATCGCGGCAGACTCGCAACAGACTCAACTAATTAGCGTGCATCAGATCAGAGGTCCCTAACGTGTATAGGTGCCTGTAAGTCCTGTTTAGGCTTCTAGGATTCAAGCTACTTAATCATTCCGGTTAACGTTTTCAGAAGCAGCAAGGTAATTAGCCACATTTGTTTGAAATCAGGCAGAAGGCAGGGCAGAGTGGCACCTGAGAGACTAACTAATTCAGAGAAGCATAAGTTTTCATAAGCAACAGCTTCTGTCAGATGCTATGAATGGACCTACAGGGAGCCAGGTTCTGAACAGAAAGAAGTAATTTAAATACACAGAATAGGGAAGGGGGAGGAAAGAAGAGGAGGCACTGCTTAGAGAGGCAAAGGTGATAAAGCAGTAAAACCATACAGATATATAGGGGGTTAGCCCAAGTAATGGGATAAGAATCCACAGTCTCTGTTTAGACCACACTTAACACAATCCAGTCTGTGGATGAGTCCTTGTTCTGCAATCTTGCCTAAGGGCAGAAATTACATATAAACTGGTGTAAGTGATCAGAAACTGGTTCAAATCTGTAACAACAGATGTCAGCACAGTTAAATCGCTTTCAAAGTGGCCATAACTGGTTTAAGATAAACCTGGTTGGATGTAGTATCAGACTTAACTGATTTAGGTTGAATCAGTTTATTGACTTTCTGTCCCAGATCCCCTCCAGATTCATGCCCCAGCATCCCAGGATGCTTTGTACCTTCCCCATAACCACCCTCCACCCCCTTGCAAGTTGGTTGAGCTAGCCTTGGCCCAAGCTGCCTACTTCAGCCAAGTAGGGAGGTGTGTCCTAGTGCTTCCCTGGCTTCTGGCCTGGGCCATTGCAGGCATGTGGCTGCATTTCTGGGATCAAAAGTGAATGCCTGTTCACTTGCTGATTGGTTCAATCTATGCAACTTAGACTAACCTTTGAAGATTGAATCAATTCAGCTTCAGGCTTTTTGACTGTTTGTATTTAGCCTTTGCATTCAAGTTGGGTTTTAGAGTTTTGTTATTTAAGAACAGCTAACTAACTTGACCAGCATGATGCAGGGAGTCTCCAACAGCTGATAATTGCATCTTGATTACTGGAGTCCTGGTCCAAGGCTCTAATTCCAAGACTATCTTCTCCATGCCTTATTTCTCTCCTTGTTGCTCTGAGACTTCTTGTTTACTGTTTTAGGAATATTTTTAATTTTGTGTTTTATTTGGTGTTGGCCTTTCTACCCCCAACATTTCATCCTCTTTTTCACTTGCTTCCTAATTCTCTTATCAGTGGCTTGTCTTCTCTCTGACAGGTAATTCAAAGAGAGAGCATCGGGACTGAATCTTTGGAGGTAATTACCTGGGCTACTAACCTGACAGCAGTGAGTGATTCAGCAAAACCCATGGGGAAGTGTGGGGCAATGGGCACTCTCTCAGGCCTATAACACTATTAAGTTGCTCTTAAAGTGCAATTTAAGCATGGACTTTGGAAGTGGTGATTTACAGTGTCAAGTAGTAGGTGACTTTTTTGCGGAATTTAGACAGCTGCTTGACTTGGGAGCTGTGACTTGAGACAGTGGTATGAGGATAGGTGGTGTGAACCCAGGACAGAGGTCCTCCTGATCTCTAATCCTGATCCTGATTAAATCTGGTCTTTTGTTAATTGTAGAGCCTCTCCCTGCTTTGGTCTTCTCCTTTGTAAAACAGAGATAATTATTTGTTACGTGTCTCCTGGGATGTGTTGAGGCTGGGGCTCCAGTGTGCTAGATACTGAATATAACATTCCTGTTCTGAAGAGCTTACAGTCTAAGACTCATAACTAAGAGAGAAAAGAAATATCATTAATCTTCAGTTTAGAGATGTGGAACCAAGGCACAGGGAAATGAAGCAGCTTGCCCAAAGGTACACCGGTGATTTGAAGCCAGATCTCTTGGATCCCAGTCCAGCACCGTCGCCTCGGGACCACATTTTAATCATTTGTCTGACTCTCAAAAATACCATTTATTTCTCTTGTAGCTTTATCCATTGTCATTTAATCATTGCCGATTTCCCTGGCCTGTTTTTTGCAATACTAGAGTGCAAGCAAATGTGACCTTCTTTTAAATTTATTTTCCCTGTTTGGCTAGCTATAGTGTTGCCACAGCTGCAAGACTAGAACTTGCTCGTTAACTTGTGCTGCTTAGTTGACTCCATGACAATTACAGAGCAAAAGTGGAATCCTTCACAAGCATTGGCTATTTTTCTTTTTCCGTATAATAGAATAGAATATAATGGAATATAAGTATATTACACACACACACACACACACACACACACACACACAGAATTTTAACAACTTTTCATTTTTTAAATGCAAGACAAATGCTGTACTTGTGAAATGTGCTATCCTAATTGCAATGTAGCCTGGAGCCCCAGATTCATCCAAACACGAGCAGTTTCAATACAGGCCAAAGCATTTTTTGCTCCCTCCAACTACTGAGCTAACATGCCTGAACCCCGTTTGGAAAGCACCGCCTCTCAAGGGTGAAAGAAACACTTATCCTGAAACTTCATTCAGTCTTTGCCTCCTTGGTAGAGACTGCCTGCCATAAGGGCAATTGATAGGATGGGTTTAATTATTAAAGCCACTGCCTATGAAAGCTGGATTGAAAGCAGGAACTCAGCCCCATGGAGCAACAAGTGGAGGAAGATATAAGATGCACTTTATTTCCCTCCCTTCTCATCCATCTTCTGCAGCACAAAGCTGCTGGACCAAGGATGAGGGCAGGTCCTTCATGGAAGTAGCCCCAACACATGCTGCTGTTGCTGCTGCTGATGAATTGTACTGGTCCAGCCTTATGAAGCAAGGCAATGACTTTTTACAGCTAAGGGCATGTTACTTTGTGGATTTCTGCAATTCCATTTGAACTTGGTTTCAAGGAACCTCATCCAAAAACAATTTAAGTCAATAAGTATCTTTTAATTTATCTCAGTGGGCTTTGGATAAGCCTCTGTTTCCTTATGTCTGAATATCACCTCTTCTATGATTACATATTCATATGTATGGGCTATTTATACCCCAAGGCATCATGGTTGGGTGATTTCAGATGCAAGCAACAAAGCTAGTTCTGGTATCTTAACATTATGTTTATGCCTAATGTATTCATCAGTACAAATTTGATATCTGTGGTATAAAATAATAGGTGCATCCCATGCTCTGTGTTCAGAAGTGATGGGGTGGCCTTTGCAAAATGACTGGCTTTACCTGGCATACCGAATGTAGGAAGCTTTTTGGTTTCTTACAGGTAGATATTGTTGGAAAGGCTTTTCTGCTTTAAGAGACAGCAGTCAGATGAAGGCTAAGGAACAAAAAACCAAAATTCCACTTGTTTAATTAGTCTTCCAGGAAGCTGCAGTCAATCTTAATACGAGGAAATGCACAGGAGCTACCTTGCATCCAACGAGTTCCTGCCTCGTTCTGGTAGAGTGGAGAAACCAGCACTGTCGACAGTTCCCGAGTGCTGCATCTTTGCTCTCTCCTCCTTAGGCAAATTTGTCTGAGACCTTAACAGTGGGCATTGTTACTGAGCAGCAGCACCAGGATATGCTTAGGATGGGGATTTTAGCCACCTAAAAAAGTGCATTTCACTGCAGAGTTCAGCTGAGTGATAGCGCCCAGGTCTGAGCACTCGGCTTGGCCTAGCTCCAGCACACCACAGAGTCACGCCAGAAATATTGTGTCCTTTTTGCTGCATTCGCCTGTTCGTGTTGGTAGGCAGTATGGAGGTATATCCCACAGTTCTTAGCACTTCAATAAGCTAAATTACTCTGATTCTTTCCTAGTGAATTGTAGAAGAACTTACCTGTCTTTCTGGCCACGTGGCAGGTAAATCGGGTGCGCATCTGAGGGCTGTCTGCACTTGAGTTGCTTAATCTGCATCTTCATTGTAGAGTGGGTAGGTTATGGACTTCAGCCAAAGCCTCACTCTAGGTTTAGTTTGTAGCCCCAAATGAGCCAGTTAGCCTGAGTTGAAAATATTACCAAATATTATAGGTTAAAGGGCTGTGAGTGTGAAGGAAAGATGACTTAGGGACAGCCCCTGAATAAAAGCCAGGATTAATTCTGCAGTGAAGATATACCTTAACTGACCTTTGATTTTAAAAATTCTTCCCTTTACCCCTTTAGTCCATATGGTGCTTTGAAGTCAAGAAGTTCTGGGTTTGCTCCTTGCAGGTGATTCCTGGGGGGAATTGGGGTGATCCCAAAAGGATCACGTTCTACACAACCTCTCTTCTGCTTCTCTTCACACCAAGCACCACTGCAGTGGTGAGCTGCCTGACACAGTGAGCTGCAGAGGTAAACATTTCAAACGTTGTTCTCATATTGCATTCTGCTATGAGAGGCTCCAAGGAGGAGTGAGGCCCTAACAAATCTAGGCAGGGATAAAACAGGAAGAATAACTATCAGAACTCTTGTGGTAGACGCGATACATTTTATTAGACCAACTAGATAGTTGCAAAAACATTTCCTTGTTTGCAATTATCTAGTCGGTCTAATAAAAGGTATCGCCTCTACCACAAGAGTTCTGACTGCTTTTGCCTTTAGACCAAATGGCTACAACCTATATCCAAGAATAACAAGGCACATCAAATACTTAAGGAAGATATTTGCACTGCCAAATAGCAGCAAGGGAAGAAATAGCAAGGGACATTCTGCTTTTGGCTGTTCCCTGCAGAGAAAGGGCAACTTGCAAAATCTTGCAGTTTTGGAGGTCACCTTTGTGTACACGCAGAGCAGAGAGAGAGACAGGGTTAGAAGGAAATCTGCTGCCATATCTGTAGGCAGGATCTCTCCCATGGAAGACAGGACTCTCCCTTGCATATTCCACACTCATCCTGTTGACAGAAGTCTCCCTGATGTCGATCGAAGTTGTGCTCGCAGGACGAGTGCAGAATAGGCAATGGCAGCTGCAGTGCAGGCTGGCCAGGGGATTCTTGCCCACGCAGCTTCAAGTCACAGGTGCACCCTGCCAACAGATTAAACAGCATGGCTGGCACTGAGGTACATGGAGACTTTCAGCACTAGGTTGTCAATTCAAATTCAGCCTCGAGTAGGTCATGATTGAAGGAAAGTCATTAGAGCCTGTATGGTGCCTGGAGTCTATTGAACCTGGTGGTCTCCATCCATTTCTTACTAGATTGGATTTCCTCAGCACAAAAAATGCTATTAATATTGTCGCTCACTGACCTCACTCCATCTGGCAGCCTCAGCTGAGAAGTCAAAGGGCTGTGGAAAGTAAGCTCACTTTCTCACTGCTTGTTCAGGTTAAGGGTTGTAGCCTGGCATTTTGTCTGCCCGTACCATGTCTGTTCTGCAGGTGAATGGAGGATTTCAGTGGCCCGTGCTGTTACCCTGGAAGTTAAAAGCACTAAATTCCCTTAAACAATATCAAAGAAGTAATCCACTTGGCTGGCGAATCTCGAAGTGGGTGCAAGCCAACAGGAACTTAAACATGTTCCATGCACTGAAAGCTGCAGTAGATAGCGCGGGTGCAATAAAACTGCACTTAGTGCGGATGCATAAAGGAAAATCATGGGGAAAGATGCATTTTCCCTATGCAACACATTCCACCCCCCATATAGCCCGGGAATGAATAAATAATTTTGTCTCTGCTAGACAGCCCAATGCAAGATGTTATCTCTTGGCTATGGCATTCTATGATAGATTGTCATTGTTGTCAATCATTTCTGGTACCCTTATTAGGCTTGGAAGGGATGTTTGCTCTGTGCATGTTGTTTTATAATCCTCAGAGGTGGAATTTTATAGCCCAGCAGTGTTTTTTGCTCTGACGTTTCCCTAAGCAGGATTTATTGCTTCTAAGACATGTGTGACTTGAATCTATTATGCCTTTACTACTCAGACTTTAAACTGGCCTCCAGCTTTGCCTAAACTATCTTTTTGCTTGACTGTTTTTTGTGCTGTGTTTTTTGTTTTGTTTTTAATTGCTAATGTGAGGGACTTAGTTGGCATGGAAGAGAAGTAGGTAGCATCTAAAAGTTGTCATAACACACCAGATCTCATCTAGCAATTTGCCAAAGCAGTTTATCTAAGGATGGAATCAGACTTAGAAATAGGTTAGGAAGCAGACTTAGAAATAGGTTAATATAGTCTCTCATATTAAGTAACACATGTAAAAACAAAAAGCTTTGCTCCCCGATGCATTTGTTGCCAAATTTGACTTATGCTTTGAGGCCCTTCACAAGGTGTTCCAATTGTTTTAAAGTATGCATGAGCTCTTTTTAGCCTATCTCTGTACAACACAAGGGTTTCTTTAGGTACCTTTAGGTACTACTAGAATAGAAATATAGTAGT